TATTATTATTATCATCATCATTATAGTTTTTTCAGTTCAAATATACACATAACAAATTCAAAGACCACCTAGAAAGACCAAATTACACGTAGAAAATCCAAATATACAAACGACGTCATAAAAAGTCCTAATACAACAATAGCACGTTTAAATGTAAACATAGAAATCTCAGATGTAACACATAGCAAATTCAAATGCCACATAACAAGTTCAAATGTAAATATGCTTGAACTAGAGTAAAAGGAGGCTAAGTGGGTGGTTGGCGGGTGCTCTGGTGGGGTTTGCTCCTTCTTTCCTATTTAACATCTATCATTCTGATCTCTCCTCCTTTTTTGTGCCTGTTACTCTCTTGTAACACCACTAATCGTCGGCACTTATATGACCTTATTGTGTTGCGAGAGCCGTAAAACTCTTACTAAAACTAAACAGGAGGTTTAAAGTGTAAGAGGAGCATCAAGGTAAGAAGTAAAAGGTTTGGGTTTTTTTGGCCATGAAAAAGTTCGACGTATGCCGTGTGGTGCCACAAGGAAGAAATCATGTGAAACGAAACTAATAGTTAAACTATGTTAAAAACCGAAAACAAATTCACATGTTAAAACCAAAACGAATGGTTATGATACAAATCAACAAACTGTTAGTATGTTATAGAACGAACTGAGGGAAATCTAAAGCCAAGAAAAACTTGTATTTTCTTATTGTTGCACTACAAAACGCTGTGGCTTTTAGGCATGCATTGATCTGAAGGCTGCTGCCATTTTCACTATAGTCGCAGCTTGTGTTTTTTTGCTCCATCATCTGGGCAAGTGTGACCATCCTTTGTTGGTGAGTCAGCTGAGTGAGCATTTGGTCTTTTGCTTCACCGAGTCACGGTTTCAAATCGTATTTCAAAATTCACAAGCGTTCTCGTAGATGTTAAGAAAAGGTGTGTAGGGGGGTAAATATTTCTTCCCAAACCTATTGATGAGTTGCCATTTAAAGCCTGCCTTGGTGCACAAGCGCTGCGACATACAAAGCATACTTCGTTGTGGGGATTGTTTGAACATCTTCTTAGAGGGACGGGTTGAAACGATAGCTCTATTCCCTCTACTTGAAAGTCGTGAAAGACCAGGCCACCCTCGTCACTGACAGCACATTAGGCCCCTATGGCATCGTACAGTTCGGTCCCCTTCGACCCTGCATTCCTCGAACAAAGCATTGACCACTCTGTGCTCTTCATCAGTTTCTCTTCGTTAACAGCTTGATACCAGCCTCATCGATGAAGGCAAATTCATACCGCTAAATTTTAATGTTCTTCATCAGCCGAGCTGCGTATTGATGTCTAGTTGCTTCAGTCCTATCTGATTTTCTTTCCGCGGGAGCATCCTCGGGATTTTTTTAATGGTGATCAATTCACCTTAAAATTAAACTGCTTATGGTTGTCGTCAACTCAGTTTGAGCACATTAAAATGCTTTTCACGCTGAAAAATCTTTGAGGAGGATATTTGCTTTTGCTATGTGGCATTTGAACTTGCCATTGTGTTACATTTGGATTTGCTATTTGTAAAGGAAGTGTCTACGTACTCCCCGATTGGGGTCTACGTAGTCATAGTGTCTAGGTGGACCCCAAAATGTTGGATTGTGATTGGCTGGCTGAGCGAGCGGTAGTTTACATTGGTTACAATGCAAGGCTGCTAGGCCTACTTACTGATCATCTCGGGTAGTATGTCTATCTTGTGTTAC